CCAGGCGCGCCGTGCTCTCGCTGAGGCCACCAATCCGCAGCTGCGCACCGCCCGCAAGCACGCAGTGGCGCAGCGTCACGTTCAAAGCGTCAGCGAAAACGTCCATCAAGCGCAGGTCCACCGCCACAGTGATCGGTCCGCTGAACACCACCGAGTCGAAGCACGCCGTCGCACGCCCACCGCCAACCGTCACGGACTCCGTCAGCGTCACGCCACTCATGCAGCCCTGCGCACCGCCACCACCGCCGCCGGACCTCGCAGGCGGCACGTCGAACGGCAGGCACGCCTCGCCCACGCCGCCGGCACGGCAGCCGCACACGCATTCGGAGAACGACGCCGTCAGCGCATCAAAGCACGCCAGCGCAGCCGCACAGCCGTCGCACGGCACCACGCTCACGGAGGGCAGGCCGGCCATGCGGTAGTCCGCACTGCTCTGCAGCACCCGGCCGCCGGCACGGTTGCACTGCACCGACACGACGCCGCTCGTGATCGCCAGCCCGGAGACAAGCGTAGCGCCGGTGGCAGTGCAGCGCGCAATCGACACGGTGCCGCCGCTCAGCGTCACACCCGACAGCGACGCCACAGAAGACGCCTCGCCCACCGCCCACACGTCGTGCAGGTCCAGCCACCCGCCGGCACCGACCATCCCACCGTCGCAGCGCACCAGCGACGACGCAACAGACCCCTCGACGCCCACAAAGCGCAGCACCGACTCAAACACCGCGAGGCGCTCTCCAAGCACAAAGCCGCCGCCACTGCTCACAACCGAGACGTTCGTCACAGAGAACACCGAGTGGCTCCGCAGACTGAGACGCGACGAGGATGGCACATGCATCGCGGAAGCGGTCGGACCGCCCGACGCCTCCAGCAACACGCCGTCAAGCACCACCGCGCTCGACAGCAGATCCACGCCGCCGCTAACGTACACCGCCGACCCGCCCGCCTGCAAAGACTTCAGCACAGTGTTGCTCACACGCAGCTGCGTCTGCGACAGCGAATTCGCGTGCAGCACAAGCGGCGACGCCACCGCGTCCGTCAGCCCGCTCAGCTGCGAGTAGCGCATCGGGCCCGCCGTCACAATCGTCGAGTCACGGACCGTCACGTTCGTGTGTGCCGGCAGGTTGTGCACAAACACAAGCGAGCAGTAGCTCCCGGACAGCCCGCTCACGCTCACCTCCAGGCTCCGGTCACTCGCCGGCTCGCCGCTGTAGCCCCGCACGTAGATCTGCGCACCGCCGTCGCACACGCAGTTCCTCAGTTCAATGCGCAGCGCACCGGGAAGCATCGCCGCAACGTCGAACACCACAGCCACGCCGTTCGTGATGTACACGCCGTCCATCAGCACCGTGTCCACGGCGCGGCCAACCGTGATGGCTCTGTCCACCGTACCGCCACGCAGTCGCACCACCACCGCGTGCGCAGCAGCAGCCAGCGCCAACACAACGAGCAGCGCCACACGTACAGCCGCAATGGCCCTGCGCCGCACACGGTGTCGGCTGCGCGGACACGCGCACACCGCAGACAACATCCAATGACCCAAAAAAGTGTCAACAGGGCTTTCGTGGTGTGTCGCACTCGTCCCGTCGACCATAACTCCAGCTTTCAAAATCCCTTCCTACAGATGGCAAATCCAGTGACACAATTCCGCCAGATCGTTATCCCACTACTGCTAATCCTAATAATGCAAGTAATCCCTAACACCTTGAAACGATAATTGTGCTGGTCAAGCAAAAGTATCTCTAACTGCACGCTCAAAATAAGAATAAAAGGCAGCAACAACAGTAACCAAGCACAGTAGCACGCAGAGGCATCCGGTCATACACAATCCCCATCACAGTACAACTGCCGGCACAAAGCAGCGCAGACGCAATCAAGTCAGTAAAACAATCGCCCTCGTACCCCCCACACAACCCCACGCAGCCACCGTGCCGAGTGGCGGAATCCCGGCAAAAAGAAACATGACGACTGGCACCGCTCCTGTTGTCGAATGGCTGCATCACAGGGCGGTCCCGGTGCCGTGCACGACACACAAGAGCCGAGACAGACCATGTGGCAGCGTTACAACCGCCAGCCATCAAGCGCGTCCGAAAGGTGTTGGTGTTGGTGGTGCGTAAGTGGAGTGGAGAGTTCGCCGGTCGCCAGCAGTCAAAGTGTCGTTTCTTGTTCACGCGATTCGGCATTGCGCAGCAATCAGCGGCACCAGGCGCGCACGGCATCGCACAAAGAAGAGAACAAAGAAGTACGGCGGCAGCACTCAAACACGGGAAACAAGGGTTCCCACCGACTTTGCATTCCGATTGGCTCACAGACATCCAGATGGTGGTCGCGCCGCTGCCGTGCGGTGCGTGTGGCGTGTGACTGCAGTGGACGGAGGGGATGAAGAGAGGGGTGGGAGATGCAGTGCGGCACACGTCCATCTCGGTTGATTGTGCCACCGGTGACATCTTCCCGTCAGATCACCTGCAGCAAAGACCGTCACCGTCAGCAGCGGTCAGTGCCCTCCCTCTCCCACTGGGGCGCAACTCCACCGACGCAGTCGCTCGTCTCCTCCCCCACCAACACAGCAAGGGAGCAACGGCAAAAGATGAGACACGCACGGCAAGCGCGCAGTCGCAGAATCCCACTGCTGTCGCCATGACCAAACAAGGTCGGCTGCAGGGCGCAAAAAGAAGAATAAACACCCCATCAAAAGCCTTGGCACCACGTGGAAGCACCGCAACCGACACACAAGGCGAGGCGCCGTGAAGCAGGCACCAAAATCAAAGCTCCTACAACAAATTCATCGTGAAGCAAAAGAAAATATTACGCGAGCTCAAAAAAAAAAACAAAAAAAAAAACAAGCCACGGAAACTGAAAAAAACAACAATGCCGGTTCAAAGGCAATAAATGGTTGTGGTGAGCAGCAGCCGTGGCATCGCGCCCCTCCCTCATCAAACGGCACCGCACCACAACGCACCGTGACGACAGCGTGCAATGACGACGACTGAGTAGCACGCAAAAAGCGGCATAAACCTTTCATCCCGCACTCGCTCAAATTTATGCTCTCAGTATGTACTGCCAACGACACGGGGAAGGACACGGAAGGGGACTGTCCCGTCCATCCACCTTCTGCCCACAACAGACCCTTCTCATCCTCCTCCTCGCTACGCCCTGGGTGCCGCAAAACGCCGTCAAGCAAATCAACGTCTATGGAAGCCCCCAATGCGCAGGGCGAGGCTGGCGGCCACCCACGCTCATTCTCCCGCACATATCCTCTCCCACAGCTTTCCACACACAAAAGGGCGAAGACATGGAGAAGAGAAGCCCGCCGCACAACGCACGCAGAGGCAACGCCATACACGCCGCACCACAAAAAAAAAAAAAAAAAAAGCGGCCGCAACAAGAGCGACGAGTCGAATTCAAATCCACGGCGCTGTCCCTTACTTCTCTCTGCCCCGACGGATTGGAATTACGCCCCACAGCAGGTCGTGGCGAGTGGCGTCCCACCCACAGTGAGGCACGGCGCACACCATCCGCTCCCTCCAAGTGCACTCAGCAGGCCGGCACCCAGTCACCCTCGTGCCATCGCAATGGGGACCACAAAAAATCTTCGTCGCGGACATCAGCGCCTCTAGCAGGAAAGGAGAAAAAATTTGGGGGCATTTAAACAGCACAGCTACCAGAGAGACACTCAACGGGACACCTAAGCACTCAGCGACAGTGAACACCGCAAAGAAAAAAAAGAAAATGAACATCAGTGATTTACAAAGAACAAAAAAAAAAAAGGGTGAGAGTCCAGAAGAACTCCCAAAAATAAATAAAAAAGAAAAAAAGAAACAACTGATTCGGAAAAACGTTTATTTCATGTGCCAGGGAGTACCATGCAGTCATGTGTTTGTGTATGCATATTGCCTGCAACAAGAAAAAAAAGTCAAAAAAAGGAAATTTACGTTTCAAAAAGATCGCACTGTTCCACCAGCCCACACAACATTCTTCACATTTAGTGCGGCATCCGGCCTGTTCTTCCAATCATCCTTTCGTGCATTCCGTGGGACGCACAGCCGCGGAGCCGGCACCGAAAGTGGGCAGTAAAAAGCAAACAAGAAAAGGAAACACTTCACTCATGTCGGTATGTAGCAGACACCCATTAAGTAAAGAAGACACTGAGGATGCAAAGCTGGACGGCACTACGTCCGGTGCAGCTCCCCATTCTCCATCACCGCACGGTGGTAGCAGCACACACGCATCCACAGAAAACAAAAACACGGCGGCAGGGTGTGGCTGTGTGTGTGGTGCTGCGGGTGTCTGCCCGCCCTGGCCGCAATAAAAACAAGAGGGAAAGAAATGTGTGCTCCGCCCCACAGGCCCTCGTCGCACGCCCACACGTCACGGCTCCCTCAGCGCGCCGTTCGTCGCGGCCCCTCCTCATGCGTGCAGCAGGCGAGGCGTACAGGGCCGTCGTCATGGGCGTGTCGGTGGGTGTGCGAGTGGAGCGGTTGGGCGGGAAACACACGGCACCCCTCACAGGAAGAGTGCAGAAGAAACAATTAAAAGAGGGAAGAGTAGAAAAGAAAAAAAAACGTCCATACTGACTGCCCCAAAAGCAAAAAAGAGAAGGGATGGGGGGAGTAAAAGATGAAAGAAACGAACAGAAAAAATTAAGAAATTTAAACCATTAAAAAATGAAAAAAACTCACAACGTCCCGCAGCAAGTAAAAAGAAAAAAAGAACACTGAGCAAAAATAAAAAAATTAAAAATTTAAAAACACACAAAAAAAAAGAGCTGCAACAAATGGCTCCACCGTGCATGCACCCACACGCAGAAATATGTCCACGTAAACAGTTGCGTGCGTGTATTGCATATGAGTGTGTCTGAGATGCGTGCCAAGTGACGGATACAGGGAGCAGCAACATGGAGCACACAGCAGAACAGCAGAAGCAAATGAAGCAAAAAAAAAAAAAAAAGACGCGCACAGATCACTGTGGCTGAGCGTTGGCAATTATAGCCCGCATTCAATTCTTCAGCCCAGTGTCCCGTACGCAAGAACAGCCAGAACAAGCAGCAGCCGGGTATGCAGACGGGTGTCATAAAAGCAGGCGTCGTTCCCCACACTGTTCTCCAGCGCCTTCGTTGGGGTCGCAGAGGAAAGGGGAGCCGGCATGCCTGCCGCCGTAGAATTTACTTCGCTGGTGGCAGCGTCGGTGGTGTTGGTGGCGGTTTCCCCTTCGGCGCCTTCCGCTGCACCCCCGTCCTCGCCGGTCTGGGACAACTGAGTCGGTGGCGCAGCAGCAGTCTCTTCTTGTCGTCCCGCTGGAGGGTCATGGGAGAAGTGGTCGCCGCTCTCTGTGGGCTCCGGATCTGGTGGGGATTCGGGTGCAGCAGAAGTAGAATGTGCAGCGCCTTGAATATCACCAGAGGGAGCGGAATTCTGCGCTTGCAAAGTCTCAGGAGGAGAAGGATCCGTCTTGCCCGCAGCGCCGGCAGGAGAAGATTCAGAACTTATTGTGGTGGTGTCACGAGGAGCCTCCTCCTCTCGAGCCACCGGAGGTCTTTCTTCCAGAGGATTGGCCGGACCACTTGCAACGGTGGCCGGCTTCGGCTCCACGTTACTCTCCCACCAACTCTTCACCCGGCCTGGAGTGGGCGTATGGAATTTGATCTCGAAGACGCCATCCTCCGCATTCCTTTCAATACGTCTCTTAACATCCTCCGGTGCACAGTTTCCAGCGCCCATGCCGCAAATCATCCTTCCCAAACCGCTAGCTTCAGCCGTGCAGTTATACCACAGTGACTTCCCACGGAGTTGCCAGCGCCCAACTTTTTCACCGTCAGCCGCACACACCGCATCCACCGGCAGCACCTCCTCCTCCTCCTCCTCCTCCTCCTCCGCGGCAAACACGCACAAGCAGCAGCACAGCAGTGTAAACGCCAAAAAGACACAGAACACACGGCACATCATCATCGAAACTATCGTTGTTGAATAGAGTGAATTCTTTCTGCAAGAGCATGAGAAAGCAAAGGGAGAGTCAGCAGCCACACCACGGACAGCCACCGCATGGTACTAAATGGCAGCAGCCAGAGGAAGCGCACACCAAAAAAGACAGACGGAATCATTACAACTGCAGGACTCGCACACCGCCCCTCAAGCCAGAAGTTAAACAAGCAAGAAAAAACACAACAGCAAAAAAAGAAAAACAAAAGAGTTGGGAGTCCAGCAAAACTCCCGGAAACTTAAAACGAAAAAAAAACAATTGGACAGGACTTTTATTTCATGTGCCATGCAGCACAATGCAACCGTGTGGTTGTGTATACATATATTGCCCGCACCAAGAAAAGAAACAAAAAACATACCGTTCCATGAGCCCTCACAACATCCTTCACATTTCATTGCGGCATCCGGCCTGTTCTTCCACTCATCGGTTCGCGCAGTCCGCGGGACGCACAACCGCAGCGCCGGCACCGCGTGTGGGCAACAAACAAAAAGAGGGGGAAACATGTCACTCATGACGGTGTGCAGCAACCGACCATGAAATAATAAAGGACACTCATTATTCCAGGAGAACAACGAAAAACAACAGTAAAACGTAAATAATAAAGGAAAACACGCAGGAAACGCGGCACATGTCCTCCGTGCTGAGTCGCAAATCCACACAAACCCAAAAGAAGCAGCCACTCCCAACACACGCACGCGCAGTGCCGTCAACAGTTAACTCTCGCAGTGTCAATTTCGCGTCGTAGAGCAGGGCAAAGCCGTCGTCGGGACTCACACCTTTTCCGGAATACTGCGCGGTGAATTCTCGTAATTGGGGTTTTCGTGTCCAGAGGCATTGCGTTGAGTCAATCCGTCCGCATCACTCTCAGCAACAAATCCACTGCCTGCAACGCCATTTTCTAAAACGGGAGATTTTGTGTCCAGTGGCGTTGTGCTCATTCACCTCGTACGTGTTAACCGCGGCAACGTGTTCCCTGCCGCCATAAGTGACAGAAATGATCCCGGAACCATTCGACGCCACTAATATTTTCAAACCATAGGTAAAGAAAAGCCTCTTCTTGGATGCAATCGGGACCATCATTTCGTTCGGATTGGTGGCAAACTCAGCATTAACTTGCGGCGCAGTTGTCCCACCAGATTTTGTGTCATCCTTCCCTTCACGGGGTGGCGGCAACTGACAGATGCCTGTCTGGTCAGCATCGCCGCTCCGTGCAGGCGGATGGATGGTTCCATCGGAGAAAATTGACGCCGCCACAATTCATAAGGGCCGGCGTATTTATGTGCCGTCACATTCATCGTGGAGGCAACGGTGGCCCCTTCCTCCTTCGTTGTACGGCTGGCAGCACAGTTGCTACATGTGTGCACCGCATTGGCCAAATGGCACACAGCACCCAGCTCACCATTCCTGCTATGCATGCGCACATCAAAGCCACTGAAAGTATAATTCTCATGCTGAGCCTCAGCACACACACACACACACACACACGATAGATCAGGCTGCCGTCACTCTGAGCACACGGCACATCCACCGGCACAACCACCGCATCCGCATCACCAGATACATGTCCAGGACTCCCAGCAGCCGTCACACACACGGACGTGCAGCAGCAGCAAAAGAGCGCAAGGACCATCACGGCGCACACAACACGGCGCCGCACCGTCACAATCGCAGTCATCACCCGTAGTGGAGTCGCCGGAGCCAGACAGCTGATCGGTGAGGCAGAAGAAAAAGAATGCAATTAGAGGGAGATGGACGGGGCACAGCGGATACAGCGAGAGAGAGAGAGAGAGAGCAGACAACATGAGGAAAGCGCAGCAGGCCCAGCCGCACAGTTCACACACCACGAGACGGCATCCACCACCATCTCCACCCAGCTCATCTCTACAGCCCCAGGGAAATGGCCAAAGCACCGCAGCCACCACTCAACGCACACGGAGCAAGCACCCGCCACAACAGCCACACGCGCCAGTGCACCACCAGCTAGTAACAAAGCAAAGCCCAAATTTACTGCCATCCCGCTCTCAATGGGACACGGAGCCCAACTCAACGCAGTCACACGCGGTGCAACAAACCCGCAGGAAAAGGGACTCGGGCTGCGCGCTCCCTCCACCTCCCTCCTCTTCATGCCCACGGAAGAAGACAACAGCCGCCACACGCAACTGCCAGCATGCACTGCAAAAAGAGCATTCAAACCCACTGCAATGTGCATCTTGTGTGTGTGTGTGTGTGTGGTTGTTGTGTGCCTGCAGAAACACAAAGCAAAGAAGTAGAAAAGAGAGCAGAGTATGTGGAGGGACGCACAAAACGTACAGCGGAGACGCAGAACGGAAACAACAAGAAGAAGACCGCTCAAACTCATGACTGCACTGCAGCCCAAGCAGTGGCAATTCACACAAGATTTATTTAAAACAAAAAAAACTTTCCCCCTCGTCTTATATAAACCCCATCACACAAAATAATTATTAATGAAAAAAGAAATCGTCCATTACTGTTCCACACAAATTTAAAAATCGCCTCGCTGCCGTGTGGCCACACCAAACTGTCCGCACATATTTTGCCCACAAAGAAAATTAAATAGTTGCATGTCTTTCAACCGTCTGACCCTCCATGTGTCCGCGCATCGTTTATATTTCATGGGATCATCTGCGTGTTGCTGCTCCCCTCAGCCCTCTCATTGGCGCGTGAGTGCGGCCCGCAGAGCACAGTCACTCGTGTGTGTGCATGGACTGAGAGAAGCACGCAGACATGACGGGAGTCGCGTCACTCCATCGGGAGAGTGAGCGCAGCAAAATAAAAAAATCATCAGAGGGGAGAGAAATGCTGACGGGACTGCCAGCGCGTGAAATGAACACGCAAAGCAAAAAATCTTAAAAACACGGCGGCAGGGTGTGGCTGTGTGTGTGTGGCGCTGCGGGTGTCTGCCCGCCCTGGCCGCAATAAAAACAAAACAAGAGGGAAAGAAATGTGTGCTCCGCCCCACAGGCCCTCGTCGCACGCCCACACGTCACGGCTCCCTCAGCGCGCCGTTCGTCGCGGCCCCTCCTCATGCGTGCGGCAGGCGAGGCGCACAGGGCCGTCGTCATGAGCGTGTCGGTGGGTGTGCGAGTGGAGCAGTTGGGCGGGAAACACACGGCACCCCTCGCAGGAAGAGTGCAGAAGAAACAATTAAAAGAGGGAAGAGTAGAAAAGAAAAAAGTGTCCATAGTGATTGCCCCCAAAAGCAAAAAAGAGAAGGGATGGGGGATGAAGGATTAAAAAAGAAAAAACGATTTGAAAAAAAAAAAAAAAAAAAGATGAATTGCAATAAAAAAAAACAATTATAAAAAAAGCAAAAAAAAAAAAGAAATCGCCTTAAGAAAAAAAGTTAGTTCCTCGGGAAAAGTAATTCTGTGCTGGGAAGCTCGCAAGTGTCCCACGCGGCAGCCAGTCACTCCTCACAGAGCGGCAAACCACCACAGTCCCAACAGAAGCAGAAGCGATGGCAGCAGTCCGCTCCCACACATGGTGCCGGCATCGCTGTTACTTTCTTGCGACACATTTCCGAGGCTGCTGCTGAGTGCCGTGGCATTTACTTCCCTGATCTGTGAATCGGCCCTCTCCACACCACCACTCGCATCTTTACTGCTTCCCACCAAATGCCCCCATTCCGACGGCTGTTGCCCGGCGGGAGTAGACGGAGTACCCCTCGGCTCTGTTTTTGCATGATCCATCTTTGGAATATTAACGCTTTCCGTGTTAGGCGCAGTCATCTCCGCGGAACTCAACGGGCGGTTGTACAGCAGGACATTCGTCACCGTCACAGACACGCCTTCTCGGCTCCCTGCGCTCCCTGCGCTGCCTCCATCCCCTCCAATGTAGAAGTGGGAGATCTCTTGGGATTCCGTGCTTCCCAATTCACACGGCGCACCCACACCCACACGCTGACCATCAACGTACGCGGTGCCCTGGTTGCCGTTCTGCAGCACAATGGCCACTTGGTGTGCCCTTTCCGGGTTCAAAGGGCTGCTGAGCTCCTCTGACTTCGTTCCGCCACCGCACAGTAGCATCCATTTCTTCCCTTTGTTGTTGTACGACAGTCCCAGGAGTACAGTCTTCCCATCATTCATCTTCGCACCCATCAAAGGAATGGGGGTATCTCCCTCCTCCGGCACCTTGTCGATGGACACCGTCGCCACAAGAGTGAAGTTGTAGTTCGCAAAGTGGTACAGCTGATTCTCCCCCTGACTGCCAACGGGCCACTCCGCCCACGCTCCCCGGAAGGTCACGCCATCGGAATTCTCAGTTGCCACTGTTGCCGTTGTTGCCGCTTTTTTCTCCCCATCATTCCCCGTTACTGTGGCGTTCACCCCAAGGTACTCGTCCCTCCATGTGCCATCAGAGAAGCTGCCGGACAAAAAGCCAACAAGCCCATCCGTGATCTTATCAGCGCCGCAGGCATTTTGAGGCGAGGCAATCTTCTGAGCAAGTAAAGTGGTGCACAGCTGAGAGACACGTTTGTCCACTTCCTTCCAGGTCGCCAGCACATCCTTCACCCGCTTCAGCTGCGCAGTCAGACGCACAGGAACCATACCGGATGATGTTTCCTCTTCGCCCTTCT